ATACAGTGGTACCTCAGGATACGAAATTAATCCGTTTCGAAACTGAGATCGTATCATGAAAATGTCGTAAGGTGGATCATCTTTTCCCATACGATTACATGTAAAGCCAAATGATTCGTTCCAACACGAAAAACATACTCAAATTAAACCCAAGTAATACATTAAAAAAAATAACTGTAGTAAGAAAAACAAATGAAAAATGCGAACTAATGTAACGTCGTATGGTGAGTTTTTGTTCGTATTGTGGAGCAAAAATTTGTTCGAATTTCATGTCGTATCCTGAAAATTTCGTATGCTGGGGCGTTCGTAACCTGAGGTACCACTGTATAATCAAACTTCTGAACAACGACCACTGCGGGAACATAAAAAAAAAATAGCTGTTGTTCAGAGGTGATCACCTTTTGGAGGTTATTTTGTAAGTGGTTTTGTTTTAAAAAAGCTCCTGAAAAAATGGCCACTCTTGAAGATGGAGTTCAAAGTATTAATGTTTTTTTTCCCTTAGTTTCTAAGAAAGGTTATTTTTGTACAGTATTCCCTTTTTTACATTTCATTAATAAATTTAAATTATATTTACAGGTAGTGAATATATTTACTATATATTTATAGTAAGTTTATTGACATCTCTATAAATGGGCATCTCTATATAATGTATGAATTTAACTACAGAACTATTAAACTTTGCATTATACACTGTGTATAAATTTGAATTAAAAATTTAGACATAAAAAATATGCAAATTTGAATAAATTTGCATATTTTTAATGTTCAAATAGTTTATTATTGTGCATTATTTCATGTAATAATAAATAATAATTCAGTATTTTGCTTTTATCACAATTTTCATTCAAACTGCAAATGTTTTGTATTTAAATCTCTGTTCAAAGACTGAATTTTCTCCTAAAATATACAACATATTTATATAAAATGTTTATTATTCATACAGTTTATGTTGTTCATGAAAAAAATAGAAGGATAGTATTTTAAACGTTTTCTAACTGTTATAAGCCAAATAAATAAACTTAATTGTTAATAAAAATTAGATAAAATTAGGATTTTATTAATAAAATGGTTAGAGTACTATAGGAGCCATTGATTGGATTGGATTGATGGTATAAGGTAATGTTTAGACACTAGAAAAATCTAGAGAACTCCATGTGGCCAGCCCATTGGTGAGATGCAAACTTGCAACCATTGTTCAATAGTTTTATCAATTTGGCCACTGGTGGGTCAGGACATCCATCAAATACATGTACAGTTTTTCAGCTGCTTTTGATTTCCCTCCTTTCCTGTTGAGTACAATAATGTGCTTTTGGCAAACTCCTTCCCCTTAATTATATACACATGTTGTTTACAACACTCATGGACTGCTGACATTGAAGAAATGACGTAGCAAATATTTGCAGAATGTAAAAAAATGTACAACTCATCAACCAATTAACTAGTGTGAATAAAGTTTAAGTGACAAACGTTTTCGTTACCCCTCCTAGGCAATTCTTCAGGACTTTTTAAAGCATGCAACAGAACCATGTGCATTAATTTTAAGGAGGAGATGTGTCTGTTGATGGCATGGCAGGCTATACTTGACAATGACATTTAATTTTCAATTGTATTTTGAGACGAATGCATGCACAGAAGTTCTCTGTGTTCCAACTCAACATGTTGTTAGACCTTTTTTAAACATCTTACAGAGAACACATGCGCATACCATATTCAAAATCCTTACCATTCAATTTATATTTGAATATCAATGGCTGGCCTATTTGAATTAAAAAGAGATCTGAAGAAGTGCCCAGGAGGGATAATGAAAACATTCGTCACTTAAACGTTATTCAGACCGGTTATTGGTTGGTGAGTCATACGTTTTTTATACATGCAGTTAAATATTTGCAGAATGTCTTTAACTAATACTTTATTCACACAATTGGTAATCAGGTTTATAAGATCAAATTCATATGCCACTAATACCACTAAAACAATCCATATGGACATTGCTCAACTTCCTCTCTCCCTGTCATGTGTAATGATCTACTCTCCCCTTTCCCTCCTTAAGCTGTACAGTACATGTAAGCAGTGGTGATATTCGAAATATTTAACAAAGGGTTCGCTAACAGAAAATTTTTCCTTAACCCCAAGCCTGAGATATCACGGGCAAGTTGCATAGCGTTACATAAAACTCGGGTTTTTGGACCCCCTAAAAATTTTGTTTTTTTGGATTTTTGGAATGTTTTTTAAGTCTCCAAATTTTTTCAAAAATTTTTTCCCGCGCGAAAAAATTTTATCGCGATTTTAATTTACCTTTAANTGACAATGACATTTAATTTTCAATTGTATTTTGAGACGAATGCATGCACAGAAGTTCTCTGCGTTCCAACTCAACATGTTGTTAGACCTTTTTTAAACATCTTACAGAGAACACATGCGCATACCATATTCAAAATCTTTACCATTCAATTTATATTTGAATATCAATGGCTGGCCTATTTGAATTAAAAAGAGATCTGAAGAAGTGCCCAGGAGGGATAATGAAAACATTCGTCACTTAAACGTTATTCAGACCGGTTATTGGTTGGTGAGTCATACGTTTTTTATACATACAGTTAAATATTTGCAGAATGTCTTTAACTAATACTTTATTCACACAATTGGTAATCAGGTTTATAAGATCAAATTCATATGCCACTAATACCACTAAAACAATCCATATGGACATTTCTAAACTTCCTCTCTCCCTGTCATGTGTAATGATCTACTCTCCCCTTTCCCTCCTTAAGCTGTACAGTACATGTAAGCAAACAATTCCATTGCTTTCATGTACAGCTTTCAATTTCTTTTATCATGCTTTTTCCTTAAAATTTATGTGCTTATAACTTAATAAAGTTATTAGTTAACCAATAACTATTGACTTCTAATCAAAAATTTTTTGTTTATAATTCATCATTATTTTAGAGATCTTTTTGGCAAAACAAATATTTGTACTTGGTTTTTTTTGAAATGACAGGATGATTAATTATATGCTCATATAATAAAAATCATTTATAACTTATCTTTAAAACTTCATTATTATAATATAAAATTGGATAATTGTAAAGCATTTATAAAATGACTTTTATAGATTAATTTTATTAAACAAAATTATATATATATATATATGTTTTTTTAATGTTAAATGTTGAATTTGCACTTTCTTACTTACAGAAATACTAATAAATTTTGAAATTGCTTAATTTTTCTAGATACCTAGTATTTTTTGATAATGGACATGCTCAGTATGTGAAGCATGCAGAAATTCATCTTGTTTGTGATGCAAGTAAGTCTGTCATTAAAGCATTGAAAATTTATATATATAGAGTTAATTCATTTTAGTAGAAATTGTCATTTTTATATGAAATCAAGAGTGTATTAATTTTGAAGTACAGTTTAAATTGTTGACTCTCATGAATGTTACAAATATTAATATGAAATATGAAACTTTTAGTACTTAATCTATATATTAATTGAAAGAGGGTTTCAGTTGTGTGACTTAGTTTGAGTAAACAAGGGCTAAAACTACAGTGCAGGTATCAAATTAAAGCTCTTACCCTATAGATGACACCATTAAAGAGAGATTTAGGAAAGATGCAATGGTTCAGGTGTGGCAGAGTAGCAAAGGTACAATGTTAGTTCTACTGGCCGGATGGCCAAGCAGTTAAGGTGGCAGCCTACCATTCTGGGGGACTCGGGATCGAATCTGGACAGGTCAAAAAATCCCCAGGAATTTTTTGGGGGGGTGGTCTGTCCAGATATGTTGGCCTCGTCCCTCACCACCCGGCTACCAGGTACCCATTGTGGGCTTGGCTGAATCTATAATGAGTTTGTGAAAAAAGAGACCCTCTTAGTACCCACAGGGCCGAAAGAGCTATCTAACCACCAATATACTGGTGAAATTAAAATGATTAACCATGATAAACACTTTAATTTAAAAGTAGAACTTCAGGTAAAAATATGCTAAATGTACTAAAATGCTTAATTTGTAAATCATTTCTTAAACTATTGTTGCAATATATTTTGTTTAATCCAGATTTGAAGAACAGCTACTGGGCTTGTATATGATTTTAAACAAACATCTTGAAACCTGATATATTAGTAATAAGCCAAAATGACATTTTTAATTTCTAAATAATGGAGGCTTGTGTAGTGAACAGGCAATGCATCTGCATGGTAAGTGTGAGTTACTGGTTCAAGTCCTGCTCCAGGCCAATTCTTTTCTTCCAGAATGTTCTAAATAATTTAATTTAATTATAATTATTAAATTTAATAAAAGATGCTGCATAATACCTGCCTCTGGTGACAAATTATTTAGAAATTAATTAAAAATAATCACAGAAAGGTAGCACAATTTATTTTGGCTTATTAATGTGTAGAGATATACATACCAAACTTTGAAAACAGAGGGTTAGAACAACTTGAATTTGATAATTTATATTTTAATAAACTTTTGTAAGATGGGAATTTTATTAATAGTTTGATTATATAATTTTAGTGATATGTTAACCAATAACTCTTTTTATTGGAAGGATTAATATAATAATATGATATTTCAACAGAATATTTTGATATGAATCAGTTGAACTGAATAATTCAAATTCTAAATTTTATTTTATTTTAGTTTTATTCTGTATTTGTAAATAAGTATGAAATGTACATAAAAATAAAAGCACCTAAAAAAGACAATAGCAATAATTTTGAAGATTATTTATCAATATTATGCTTTGTTTCATATATTTAATTGTAGTATATTCTAATACAGTGAAAATCCATTAACATAGCATCCAGTATGCCAACAAATCCCATAAGCTGGCATGTCCAGCTCATTTTTGGTGGGGGGAGTATTGGTGCACTGGGTTTGTGCAATCTGAGTTTATTAAAACTAAAAATAATAATTAAATTAAAATAAAAAGAAATTTAAAACTCTGGTGTTTATATTGAAACAAAAACTGAAACTAAAATTAAAAATAAAATCAAAATTAATTAATAAATTAAAATCAAATCAATTGAAACATAATATTTTCAAAAGTGTGGATAAATCATTTGTTGTCAGTTTTGATTTATTTGGTTATACTGTATTTCATCTTGGCATTCAGAGTTGATTCTCTATTTATAGCACTTCTTTGTAAAGTGTTAGTTTTGGTTTTGGCATTGACAGAACAGTTTGCTTTTAATTAATATGTAAAATATATAGAATATAGAGTAGACACAGGTAAAAATGTACAAAGCATAAAGTGAGATTCTAGTTAAGAGTGTTCTTGTTTCAAACTAACCAAGGATAGGAATAATGTGGAAAAATTGAAATGGTATGCTAAACTATCATAAAAGAGGATTTGTGCAGTTTTACATGTGATTTTATGTAAAATTGTGTTCAGGAAATCGAAAAAAATAAAATTTCATCATCCAATAAGTTGGCATTGCATTGGTCCCAATGATACTGGGTTAATGGAATGTCATTTGTACTAAATTATTTAACTTGGAACAATTGTTTCTATTAGATGTTATATTCAAAACCAATCACTTTTGGGAAGCTAGACATTTATTTTATCTAAGCAAACTTGACACAAATGTTATTGACAAATTTGGAATGTTTAACTAACAATGAACATCGAAGGGAGAAGGGCGGCTGAAGGGAGGTTTGTTTATTAGGGAATTGATGCTATTAAATTTTTGTGATTAAAGGTCTATGGTGTGGGGAGATATTGTAAAAGGAGGTCACGTGTATTTCCAGTAGGGTCAGACTTAATGATGATTTTACTTGTCATTCACCTTTACAGTTTTTTAAAAAANTTGGTTCGATTATAGAACGATTGTAAACGTTTCAGAAAATTGATCAAATTGAAAATAGTTCGTTTGATTTTCGGCAATTCTCTTCAGCGGTAGGTGTTATATAACAATTACTATGGTTATTGAAATATTGGATGTAAATGGGGTTTGCTTGCAAAACCTCCGCTGACGAAGTCGCGGGTAACAGCTAGTTGTAGTATATTCTAATACAGTGAAAATCCATTAACATAGCATCCAGTATGCCAGCAAATCCCATAAGCTGGCATGTCCAGCTCATTTTTGGTGGGGGGAGTATTGGTGCACTGGGTTTGTGCAATCTGAGTTTATTAAAACTAAAAATAATAATTAAATTAAAATAAAAAGAAATTTAAAACTCTGGTGTTTATATTGAAACAAAAACTGAAACTAAAATTAAAAATAAAATCAAAATTAATTAATAAATTAAAATCAAATCAATTGAAACATAATATTTTCAAAAGTGTGGATAAATCATTTGTTGTCAGTTTTGATTTATTTGGTTATACTGTATTTCATCTTGGCATTCAGAGTTGATTCTCTATTTATAGCACTTCTTTGTAAAGTGTTAGTTTTGGTTTTGGCATTGACAGAACAGTTTGCTTTTAATTAATATGTAAAATATATAGAATATAGAGTAGACACAGGTAAAAATGTACAAAGCATAAAGTGAGATTCTAGTTAAGAGTGTTCTTGTTTCAAACTAACCAAGGATAGGAATAATGTGGAAAAATTGAAATGGTATGCTAAACTATCATAAAAGAGGATTTGTGCAGTTTTACATGTGATTTTATGTAAAATTGTGTTCAGGAAATCGAAAAAAATAAAATTTCATCATCCAATAAGTTGGCATTGCATTGGTCCCAATGATACTGGGTTAATGGAATGTCATTTGTACTAAATTATTTAACTTGGAACAATTGTTTCTATTAGATGTTATATTCAAAACCAATCACTTTTGGGAAGCTAGACATTTATTTTATCTAAGCAAACTTGACACAAATGTTATTGACAAATTTGGAATGTTTAACTAACAATGAACATCGAAGGGAGAAGGGCGGCTGAAGGGAGGTTTGTTTATTAGGGCATTGATNGATTGTAAACGTTTCAGAAAATTGATCAAATTGAAAATAGTTCGTTTGATTTTCGGCAATTCTCTTCAGCGGTAGGTGTTATATAACAATTACTATGGTTATTGAAATATTGGATGTAAATGGGGTTTGCTTGCAAAACCTCCGCTGACGAAGTCGCGGGTAACAGCTAGTTGTAGTATATTCTAATACAGTGAAAATCCATTAACATAGCATCCAGTATGCCAGCAAATCCCATAAGCTGGCATGTCCAGCTCATTTTTGGTGGGGGGAGTATTGGTGCACTGGGTTTGTGCAATCTGAGTTTATTAAAACTAAAAATAATAATTAAATTAAAATAAAAAGAAATTTAAAACTCTGGTGTTTATATTGAAACAAAAACTGAAACTAAAATTAAAAATAAAATCAAAATTAATTAATAAATTAAAATCAAATCAATTGAAACATAATATTTTCAAAAGTGTGGATAAATCATTTGTTGTCAGTTTTGATTTATTTGGTTATACTGTATTTCATCTTGGCATTCAGAGTTGATTCTCTATTTATAGCACTTCTTTGTAAAGTGTTAGTTTTGGTTTTGGCATTGACAGAACAGTTTGCTTTTAATTAATATGTAAAATATATAGAATATAGAGTAGACACAGGTAAAAATGTACAAAGCATAAAGTGAGATTCTAGTTAAGAGTGTTCTTGTTTCAAACTAACCAAGGATAGGAATAATGTGGAAAAATTGAAATGGTATGCTAAACTATCATAAAAGAGGATTTGTGCAGTTTTACATGTGATTTTATGTAAAATTGTGTTCAGGAAATCGAAAAAAATAAAATTTCATCATCCAATAAGTTGGCATTGCATTGGTCCCAATGATACTGGGTTAATGGAATGTCATTTGTACTAAATTATTTAACTTGGAACAATTGTTTCTATTAGATGTTATATTCAAAACCAATCACTTTTGGGAAGCTAGACATTTATTTTATCTAAGCAAACTTGACACAAATGTTATTGACAAATTTGGAATGTTTAACTAACAATGAACATCGAAGGGAGAAGGGCGGCTGAAGGGAGGTTTGTTTATTAGGGAATTGATGCTATTAAATTTTTGTGATTAAAGGTCTATGGTGTGGGGAGATATTGTAAAAGGAGGTCACGTGTATTTCCAGTAGGGTCAGACTTAATGATGATTTTACTTGTCATTCACCTTTACAGTTTTTTAAAAAACATATTTATATCCTCAAAATTAAGCTTTTTGCCATTTTATAATAGTTAAAAATATTTTTTATATTTTTAACTATTTTTAAAATAAAAGTTTTATTTAGTTTTTAAAATAAAATATGATAACAGATGTCACCACCACAAATTTTAAATGTTGCCTATTTATTTAATATTGTTTTCAGAATGATTAAAATGAATGAAATATGCATATAATATATGCCCCTATATCATTATGAATAAAAATATCTGTAATGACTGGTTAAATTTTTTAATATATATGAATGTTTCAGCTTTTAAGTCTAGTAATTTTCAAATTACTAAGTTCTGCAATGAATCTGGGTATTTTTTTTGTTGAGTTTTTGGCTCTCTATCTTGTGAGCAATAAAAGGGCTTTTTTTCATGCCAATTGTGGGTTCAGCTAGGTCAACAACAGAGATGACTGGATGGTAAGGAACATGGTTTGACATATCTGGGATGGACCTCCCATGAAAAATCCTTGGAAGTTTTTCAACTGCTCGAATTTGATCCTGGGTTTTCCAGAGCAGTAGGATGCTTCAACTGCCTTGGAATTCACCAGGTTCAGGTTTAAATATTTGTTAGTCAAGTTAATAAAACATGCAAATATTAAGAAACTTAGCTGATTATTAATGATAAAATTCTTTAATAGTATAATTTATACTAGTTGTGATTGTGTTTTTCATTGAATTTTAGAATTTCTTGTGTTAAATGAATATTTTTTCCTTTAAATTCATCAGATAATATTTGTTTTGTTTCTAACAAATATATTAAGTATAATTTATGAAAATTCTATTCTTATTAGGTAAAGAAGTTTGGGAAGATATACATCCAGATTCCAAAGATTTTATCAAAGGTTATCTTTTACAATATCCAGAAGTTAGTACATTAACATTAATTCATTGATAGCAAATAAAATTTTGTTTTTAAAAAATTGTTTAATATTCTTTCTAGCGACCAATGGTGAAGCTACAGAAAGGCCAAATTGTTAACACTGAATATAATGGTGCTTGGTAAGTTTCTTGATTATGATGTAACTAGCTGTTATCTATAGAAATATATCTCTCTAATGCCAAAGAACTGTGTTGAAAATTTTGTTTTGAACTATGATAGAAAAGAGTTGTGAAACTGGAAAATTTCAATATTCTAATATTATTGACTTTTAAAATTGAAAGTAAAAATTTGAGAAATAAGTTACTATGAACTTTGAATATTTAATGTTAGATTTAATTTCTATAGAATGTTCTATTCATGATAACAAGGAAATTCTAATTTTTGATAACAGAATTTAAAATTACAGTGAGATCTCAATTTAATGGACTAATTCTGGTGAGGTGTCTGTTAAACCTGAATGTCCTTGATTCAACAAAATAATTTTTCAAATACATATGTTAAAAACTTGACAAATTAGTTAGTTTTTCTGTTTTTACTTATGTTGATATGTTTGTGTAATTAAAATTAAGTATGTATGAGAAGTTTAATTTTACAGAAATGTTTTCTGTATGTATTTTATTGTACTCACTGTAGTTCTGAGACTGTAATAAACAAATACATGATCTAAATTGAAATAAATGAACAAACATTTAAAAAAAAATATACATTAATTGTACTTAACTAAACAAATAAATAATGTTCTTAAAAAGAAAGCAAAATTTAAATTTGACCAAAAACACAAAAAAATATTATTGTGTGTTAAGAGATATTACTATTAAATATTTAACTTAATTAAATAAAATGGAATTTATTGAAAATATTCCAACTACATATCTTAAATAAAGCATTATCTTTCTGCTGATAGGAATCATTAAAATATTTTCCTTCTGATAATAAACTAAATGCTTTTAGATTTTCCATGTTTATCTTTAGAGTCAAAAAAATCAAATTTAAATTGGAAAATCTGAAAGTACTTAGTTTTTTTATAGGAAAGAAAATTTATCAATGACTCTGAAGGCAGAAATGTAACTTTATAAGGCTATTTAATCATTAAATCATTTAACAGATGAAAAAAAATTGCTTTTTTACAGTACATATTTATAAATTATTGTTTAAAATAATTNAATACTTATTTATTTGATAATTTTTTAGATACTAGAATATTCAATTTTAGGTTATGAATTTTATATAAATGCAAGAACTTATTGTACAAATTTCATGTTTATATTTTTTAATAAAGAACAAGTTTAGTAAGCTAAAAAGATGATTTATACGGCAATTAAAACGCTATAAACATATGTAACTCTAATAATATATTTAAAAACCCAGCGCTACTGATGACATGGAAAGAGAAGTAGAAAGAAATAATGTTATCAGATGAAAAAAAATTGCTTTTTTACAGTACATATTTATAAATTATTGTTTAAAATAATTTTAAAAATATAATAGTTACTTCTGGACTGCTCCACTTAAGGTAGTCAGGGACGGAGTCCATAGTAAAAAATAAACTGAAANATAAAAAAAATACCACATTACATTATTTTATAATTAATATTAAAGATGAAATTATAATAAACTACTAGGATATTATAAAAAAAATTTATTTGTTAATATTGGAAGTAAGTCATGGAACTGTTTTGCACATCAGATTCTGTATTGAAATTTGTAAATAATTAAATTTAATGATATTCAACATTAATGAGAATCATTTTCAGAAATTATTTTTAAAATATTATTTTAGGTTATCTGCCCATGTAAAAGAAGTTGATGCAAGTTTGGTTAAGCTAGAATTTGAAAATAATCATATGGAATGGATATATAGAGGATCAACAAGATTGGCTCCCCTATACATTGAATTGGTATTAAAAATTAGATTTTTAGATTATATTGTTAGTTTTATGTGAAAAATCTGAAACCTGACTATGAAGGATTTAACATTGGATAGTGAAAATATATTATAGATTACTATAAATATAATTGATATTAAATGAGTTGTGTTTAATATTTATGATAAGTTTTGATTTTAAACAGAACATTTAGCTGCTTAGTTATATCTGTTTAGTCAGCTTTCTGATATGTTTTAATCTGTTCTAAGTTTTATATTAATCAGATTTTATGTTATTTATGCTATTTTTTTCCTTAATATTTTATAAATTTTAAAAGTAATTTGTTTGTAAAGTTACGTTTTTAATATAAGTGAAATGTATTGCAATTTTTTTAAAGAAGTGAATAACTAAATATTTGACTATATTAATTAAAATACAGCTTACTTATATACTGACATTTAGCTGTTTGCTCTGTTATTTTAATTTTTATTTTTAGGACTTGTATATTAAGTTTATTGTTTGTTTTGCTACTCATGTTGATTTATTCAAGTTTAGTATAAACCTTACAAATTTAAAAATTACCAGGTTATAATTACTAATTTGATGATAAAGATACTAAAATATCTTTTAGTATCTTTATCATCTTATATTTTAGTATCTTTATTTGANTTCTGATATGTTTTAATCTGTTCTAAGTTTTATATTAATCAGATTTTATGTTATTTATGCTATTTTTTTCCTTAATATTTTATAAATTTTAAAAGTAATTTGTTTGTAAAGTTACGTTTTTAATATAAGTGAAATGTATTGCAATTTTTTTAAAGAAGTGAATAACTAAATATTTGACTATATTAATTAAAATACAGCTTACTTATATACTGACATTTAGCTGTTTGCTCTGTTATTTTAATTTTTATTTTTAGGACTTGTATATTAAGTTTATTGTTTGTTTTGCTACTCATGTTGATTTATTCAAGTTTAGTATAAACCTTACAAATTTAAAAATTACCAGGTTATAATTACTAATTTGATGATAAAGATACTAAAATATCTTTTAGTATCTTTATCATCTTATATTTTAGTATCTTTATTTGATGATAAAGATACTAAAATATCTTTTAGTATCTTTATCATCAAATCACTGGATGTTATCTTCATCCAATAATTCTTTTACAAAAATATTTTAATAGTAAGTAAACATTTATGACTAGTCATATAACCTTATCTTTAGGTTAAAGAATCAGACAAATTTAAAATATGTATATTTCAACTATTTTAAATTTGACTTTTTCATATATTTTATTTACTTTTGTTTTAAATTTATGCCCACAGGCATGAGAATTATCTCTCTAATTAACATAAAACAAGTAACTCAATCATAAAATGACCATAAGAATTAACAAACAAGAAATAAAACCGCTGTAGATCATCAAGAGAAAATTTTTTTACATTTTAGATTTTTTATATCAAAATACAAAGTCCTTTACCTTCAACATCAACTCCAGACAAAATGAATGATAGGATATTTTCTAGGATACAAGATGGAGCCATAATAAAAATATTATTGGGGTCAGGAGACCATTAAAATACAAGGGGATTATATTTAAACAGGAGGTGTTTAAAGCTTTGTGAAGAAAGAACCAGTGGACCAGATTCAACCAAATTTGGTGTGCATACTTTTCAAGGGATTTTGATTTTGCAAATAAAAAATTTACTTTGGAAGTAAATTTAAATTTATTTCCAAAGTTTCTTGAAAGAGAAAAATTTGACACTAATGTAGTTACAATTTATATAGTGTATAGGTTGTTAAAAACAATTCTCTAATATAGAAAAATTGAAACACAAAACATGTGAGATTTTATTGCAATTTAGTGCAATTTAGTGGCAATTACAGATTGTGTGAGTTTTAACTTTCCTTATGTTACACTGTCACATAATTTACAGTAATTTTACATGTTTCAAATTGTACACATGGGATGTTGAAGTAACTAATAAATCAGATTAATGATTCTACTGTAGATGCCCACCATCTCTTCCATGTTTTAAAGCGTGCTTTCAATGAACAGTGCACTTGATGGCAAAACACATCTGGCTTAGGTGCAGTTGTCTCACATGAAGCAAAATTCTCTCTTAAGACAGCTAAGTTAAGGAACATCACCCTAATAAACAAGATTCTTAAAGTTTCTCCATAACCAAAAATCACAAGGGATCTTATGATTGTGGTGGCCATGCTATTGGAATAATTCACTAATCATTCTCTCATTTATGAAATGCTGACTCAATAATCATTGTATTGGCACTGATATCATGGATTTCTAAACACCGTCTGTTTAATATTAACCACTCTGTATTTATAGTAATTGATACAGCCATATTTTACTTGGATATTTTACTTGGAGTTCAAATATTTTCCTAATTTCTTTATTACCTAAATCATATGATAAATTAGGTAACTTATTCAACAATGCCATATGATTAGTCACAATCATTTATTTGTATTAAATATTTTATACTAGACTAACTAGAGGAATGGTATTTTGTTGTGAGAAAAATTACAAAGCGATATTTTTATATATTATAGTTAAATAGTAGAACGAGAAAGGAATTATTTAAAACATTGTACAAAATTAATAGGTATAGTTGTATTATTTATGCAAATACAATAGAACATCATTTATTCGAAAGCCAATCAACTGAAAGCATTCCAGTCAGACTGTGTTGTGCTGAATCAAACACTTTTGATACTAGATTAACTTCCAAAATATAATTTTTTTGTTTTTATATTTGTTAATACAGTAGAGCCTCGATTATCCGACCTAATTGGGAACTGGGGTTGGTCGGATAATTGAAAGGGCGGATAACCGAAAAATATGAAAAAATCTATTATTAGTGTAGTATATTATTATATCCCATGTAATTGTAATATTAGTATATCGCTATTAACCTACTTTGCGTTGAATTTTCATCGATGTTAAGCCTAACAAAAATTTTTTAAAATAATAATCATCGCTATTGTATCGTTAAAAATTAGAAAGTTAAGCTTCGTTTAAATACTGGCTTCCTTTCATGGTCGATTCAGTGTTGCCAGCTAAAACACGTAAAAATAATATTAAAGTAGCCAAGACATAGCCAAATATTGTAGCGCCACATCAATAGCGGACATTTTAAATTTGCCGACTAGGACGGTTGGTTAACCGAGGGGTCGGTTGATAGGGACTTGAGTCGGATAATCAAGGCTCTACTGTATATTTATTTTGTTTGTACAAAATAAAGAAATAATTTTTAACAATACAATAGCTACAATTATTATTTTTAAAAATTTACATTAAGCCTAACATCGATGAAAATTCAATGCAGAGCAACATGCAACAGAGAAAAATTTCAACGTGGGATAGGTTAATATATTTTTTCGTACATAATCGGTTATCTGAAAAATAAGTTATCCGAACAACCCCAGTCCCTAATTGATTCGGATAAACGACACTCTACTGTATATAGTTTAGCACTGTATTACTTCATAGCATCAATAAATAAATGCTTACTGGAACTAATTAAATAATGTAAAAATAAACAACACCTTTCACCAGTCCAGCACCATGTTTAAACGTGGTGCTGGACATGTGAACGGTGTTGTTTATTTTTACTTCATAGCATATATTGCATGAATTTATTATAATTGATTGTGATGAAATAATAGATGTAAATATATTTAAAATTTTGTTATTTTTATATTTGACTATATTTTTTGTGAATTATTTAATTAAATAGTGTATAAAATATCATGAAATTTGAAATTTTATTACATGTGTATAACTTAATTTGATACAATATTGTATTGTAATTATAAATAAAAATTATTTAATGTAAGTATATTATTAACAGATTTACAAAATTATAAATAATTGCAGGCTACTGCTCAAGCGAACAGATTGACAGGAAAGTTTCGTCGACATAATCTTGTTGCTAAACGACCTCATCAGCCTTATGTTGAATACACAAGAGGAATTGATGAACCCATAGCACGTCCTACTGGAAATCTGGGTAAGAAAGTATTGAAAATATTTTTATGATTTTTTTCTGAAATACACAAATATAAAATTTTGTAAATTTTCAAAATTATTTAATCAGTTAACTTCAGAAAACAACAGAAAGAGCAGATTTCAAATTTTCAATTATCCGATATTCCTTCTCGACCTCAAGTTGCTAAAAAACAGACAGGAGGATGTATTCCAAATCAGAATATTGAATCTAGTGCTAGAATAGCAAAGAAATCTACAACACAAGAACGTCTTCTTTATAATTTAATGAATGAAGAAAATAGAGATGATTATGGTAAGCTTATATGTTACTTGAATAATAATTTGTGATATTTGCAGTATTTCAATAAGAAAAAGAAGCTGAAAATTGTGAGTTGGGATAGGAGCTTGGATAGTATAGCATCTGATTGCTGTATGGCAGTGTTTTTCAACCGGGGTGCTGCAGCACCTTAGGGTGTCACGGCGCCACGATTGGGGTGTTGCAAAGTTTAGAGCCTTTAGGCATTTTCTTGGAAATTTACTTAAGTGTAGTTCAAGATAACACATTGTCAGTTCTATTTTGCTACGAGATATCTAGTAAGCAAAGAAACTATGACTAATCTCATGTTAATGTAATGTTCTACGCTACGTGTACGCACAACTTGTCACGAGTTCGCCCAAACCACATTGCTTGGCTTTCATGTTCCCAGTACCAGGTCAACCACCAGAGAAGAACGACGTGGACACTTGTGTCTTGTATATGCTTTAAAAAGTGTTGCATTGTACTTTGAAAAGCACGTGGTTTCAATCACAAAGTAGGTGCATATTACAGTATTTTCATAGTATTCAAAAGCAATGATGACAAATAAACAATTTTTTTATCATTTTTTTAATTTAAATTTTTTAAATTGATGTGAAAAAGATAAGAAAAAAAATAATGAAATATTTATTTTATATATGCATCAAAATAGTATAAAAAAACGTAACAAAAATTGTTTATCAATACAATGTTAATATAAAATGATGATATATTTGATAATAAAACTA